CGCGGAGCAGGGAGCCCGATGCGGGACTCGATCCCAGGACCCTGGGATCATGACCTGAGCCAAAGGCAGACGCTTAACAACTGAGCCACCCAGGCACCCCAATATAATTGTTTATTAAAATTTTTTCTTTTCCTTAAATAAGCCATGCACTATCACCTCAGTTCATAACTCAAAACAGGGTAACTATATTTAACTCTATAGAAACTAACATAGTACTCTAGGAATACTAATATTTAGTAAACAATAAAGATAAAATTTCATTCCTCCCATTTTCACATCAACCAACAATGTATTTTCAAAGAATCAAGTGTAACAACTAACAAGCATTTGACAATATGCAAAAGGAAGGAGAGAAAGAATCAAGGAAAGACACTTCAAGATTAAAAACATGTTTGCATCCATTATTCTGTCCTCTAGCATAATAATCTATCTCAAGGGAAATAAAACCCCAAAATACAAAACTATACACAACTTCAAAATACACCATATAATGTACAACATACAAGTCAATACTGAGCTTTTTATGTTCAAAGTTTCTTTAAAATTTCTTTCAATTTAAATTTCTTTAAAATTGTTCCCAAGAATGGAGAGTAGTAGTTTCATTCTTAACACTTACAAACAACTCCTCTGCAAGTTTTTCCAACTCAATATCCAACTAAGTTTGTTTTCAAACTCTGAATATACATGAGGGGTAGAATGTATGAAAAATAAGAGCAAAATACTGTAAGATTTTCCTCAAATGTGTAACATAAACATATGCAAGTCAGATTTAGAAGTCAACACAGACTCAAAGTATACTTTTCACTTTTATAAGCAATATAATTTCTATCCTGTGAATTCTCTTTGAATGTATCAGTAAAATCTATGATTAGGTTTTAACATACCCATTTCTAGATTTTCAGTACAATACCACCCTTAACTGACCTCCACTTAACTGACCTGCTTTACCCAACATCTTTTTTTGCTCTTTTATTAAATATGCCATGGCACACTGACTATTCTCAACTTATATGCTATTTTTAGCATATTTAACCACTTCTGATCCCACAGGTTGAGTTATGTTTCACAAATCAGTTGGTTGTTCCCAAACCTGTTTATGCCAGTTTACCTGATGTGGTCCTTACATAATTAATATTACATAAGTCTATGGAATACGGATGCAAAAAGAGAGTTGTTTCTATGTAAACTAAGTTGAATACAGACTAAGTAGAACGACTCAATAAAGGTGAGTCATTCTTTAAAAAGGTACTGAATTAGACAAAGATGAGACATCTGTAAAATATTAAGGAAACCATAAAAAATCAGAAGAACCTATACTTTGGGTTTTTCAAAACTATCTTTAAGTTTTTATTCCACTTTAGAGAAATCAAAACTGGAAATTGCAAATCATGCATTATGGATATAGTTTACAAGAACAACTCTCAATTCCACATTCAAAGAGATGGTGTTAACATTACATCAAAAAGCTGGCAAATGAATATAGATTTAAGTATTTTAAGTTAAAATTTTTAAATGTTAAGATACATTTTTTTTTTTGTTTTCTGCTTTAACTTCTTCAATAACCTGCCACGTAACTGTCCTAATCTCATCAGATATGAAGTCTTCAAATAAATTTTTTTCTGAATCTCTTAAGGGCTTGCTATAACAACTAGAAAAATAGTATCTGTCTTTATAAAATAACTTTATGGAAAGAAGTATTAGACTCTATGCTCCACAAAGGCAAAGATCTTTCTCTCTTATTCACAGATATATCCAAGCCGCTAGAACAATTCCTAGGGTACAGCTGATGCTCAATAAATACTTGTTGAATGAAGAAGAGGAACTTACTGTGATGACAGCCTTGCTAAGACAGATGGATCCTCTGCAGCCATACTCTGTCTCGTCTTCAGATTTGTAGTAACTCAGAGTATTATTTTTTAAAACTACCCAACGATCCTGCCACCCATGAATGTAGTTTGTCCACTGGAGGTAAGGGGGTGGGGGGGCGGGAGGGAAAAGGAAAACAAAATATAAAAGTCAGTATTTTAGAAATCCAAACTTTCTGAAACAGCTATCAATCTAATTTTAAAACCAAAATGTGAAAAGTTCTAGCTTAATTGTAAACAGTATAAATGATTATAAAAAGTGAGAAGCTGAGATTTTCTAGATTGTATGATTTTCAGTAATTTTTACAAAATTATAAATACTATATTTTCTTCTTTTTAACATTTGAGGAATAAAACTGATGCAGAGTTCAGTTAAAAATTCTACTTTTGGGGCGCCTGGGTGGCGCAATTGTTAAGCGTCTGCCTTCGGCTCAGGTCGTGATCCCAGAGTGCTGGGATCGAGTCCCACATGGGGCTCCCTGCTCAGCAGGGAGCCTGCTTCTCTGTCTCCCACTCCCCCTACTTGTGTTCCCTCTCTCGCTGTGTCTCTCTCTGTCAAATAAATAAATAAAATCTTAAAAAAAAAAATCTGCTTTTTTTTGTGTGTCTTCATCCTCCCCTCCTCACCAACTTCATGACACTTAAGATTGTTTTGGTCTCTACCATAATTAACATATTCAATAGAAAAGTAAGTTTGGTTTATAGCCTCTCATTCTCCTACGCCAAGTACTGCATGAAGCTTTCAAATCAACAGAAGTATGAAGCTAATCATGGCCTAATTCTACTTTTGTTTAAGTTGTTCTTATATGAACATGTATGATATTTATAACTCCATCCAAGCAAAAATACTAGATATTAATCTTTAAGTCTATATCAACTTTACTTTTTTGTCCATAGAACTCAATACTACATATTAAAAACAGTTAACTCATTTTCCAAGTTTCTCTGAAGATCTATTTTTTAAATCCAAGAATAATAATACAACTATTAAAAAAAAACTGGTTTTCAAAAACACTTGAATTATCAGTTTCTAGTGCCTATAAATGGTTTCTGTGTTGCTAAAGTCTTGCTGCACACTGCAGATCACAATCAATAAACTTGCAAAGCCAGAAATGCAACCTCTACGGGAATTCTTGATTTTGTATATTTTTATGCTTTGGGGGTTTTATGTATGTATAGATAATTCCAAAAACTAATTCCAACACTATCTGCCAAAAACTAATTAAAAATGGACTGTCAAAAATATACCGCATTGGCTCAGGCTCTATACCCATTGAGAAATCTTTACTTTTCTATTCCCTACTCAGCATGTTTGAGACAGTTCAGCTCTTAAATCTTCTAAGGTCCACCATTACAACCCTTCACTGAGAGCTCATCCATGCTGGCAATTTAACACATTCTTTCCCATGAGCTCCCTAATCACCATTTCCTTATTTCTAACTCCCTATGACTTACCACCACTTATACACTGACTCGAAACAACAATGGTTACATACAAAACCGCATTCATCTCCTCCAATAAGGTGCACTTTCTTCCCTATATTCCTATTTCCTTTGCTATACTGGTATTTCTGCAGTCAATTCAGATTCAAACCTAGCTGAGTGTTCCTGTATTGTATGGACAGAGTAGTGCATATAAAATCAGATAGACTCTATTAGTTACATAAGGAGTTTCGACAAGTTATTTAACTTTTCCGAGCTTTACTTTCTTTGCTTGTTATTTGATTCGCTGAAAAAAAATCATGAATACCCCTACTATATTCATAAGAGATAATGTTTCTTGTCAATCTTTACAGCCTGTCATCAACTCCTATTCATCTTTCCTTCATATTAAACCCTTAAATTTGGCTCTTCTCTATTTTCAATTAGTCCAATCAAATTGTCAGGTTACTAGACTCTTGAGAAGGCTTAACAACCTTACCTCTAGCATCTTTTGTATTTTCTTTCATAACTTGCACAATTTTATTTACTTATTAAGCACATTGGCTTACTTATCTTACATATTAATCTCACTGAACCACTAGCTCCAAAACTTACATGGACAACTCCCCATTGCCTATAATACAGATTGTTTAGAATGGTATACCTTAATCCTACCTCATTTCCAATTACTGCCCCTCAGAAGGCTGGTAACTGTGTGACTGTGGTCAAGTTACTTATCCTCTGTTTCCTTGTCAAACTCTACCTTTTAAAGTTGTCAAGATTAAACAAGAATAGACTTACAACACTGCCAGGGACACAGTATTTTCTCAGTTGGAGACAGAGTTATGCAGAACTAATGAAGCTTAACCTTCAGTGCAGTTCACTAGAACAGACCTCTTGCAAAGTGACAGAATGGGTTCCAGCAATTGTGTGTCCATTTTTTAAGTTTTTTTCTTATAGAGGACCCAATAAATTAGGTAAGCTTCAAGACCCTTTACTTATTAGTAAATGTTAGCTTCTCCTAGAAGGCAGATTTTTGCCTTTCTCATAACATTCCCTCACTCTCACCCATCTAACAGAGACAAGGCAATATGCTATACACAGAAGCAGAATCAAAGATTTATGGTCCCAATAGTCCAGCGAGCATAATTTCAAGAGGAAAACAATACATTTAGAGGAAGAGTCAGAACAAGTTACAAATAAAATACTATGGGAGCTCAAGGGAAGGAGATCTAAAATGGTTGGCAAAATACGAAAAGGCTTCATGCTAAGAATAGAGTTTGAGATAAACTCTAAAGATGGGGGCTCCTGGGTGGCTCAGTTGGTTAAGCAACTGACTATGGCTCAGATCATGACCCCAGGGTCCTGGGATAGAGCCCCCCGCATTGGGCTCCCTGCTTAGCAGGGAGTCTGCTTCTCCCTCTCCCTTTGCCCCTCCCCCTGCTCGTGCTCCCTCTCTCTCTCTCAAACAAATAAATAAAATCTTATAAAAAACCAAACTCTAAAGATGGACAGAATTTCACTCAACAGTTAGGTATGTGGAGAAACAGAAGATAAGGTAAACCTTGAAGGATGGAGAGAATTCACAAGAAGCTTGACGACATTTATTTTATCCAGGCTTAGTTTCTCTCAAGTCCCACTAAGGCATGAATCTTTTCCCGTCAATTTCCATCCCGATATTTGTTATAACCAACTAGAATTATTGTCTCTCCAGTATTCGTGGAACCTACGTGCTTAAGAAGTGATTCCATAGGGGCGCCTGGGTAGCTCAGTTGGTTAGGCATCTGCCTTCGGCTCAGGTCATGATCCCAGGGTCCTGGGATTGAGCCCCACATCAGGCTCCCTGCTCAAGGGGGAGTCTGCTTCTCCTTCTTCCTCTGCCCCTCCCCCATGCTCGTTCTCTCTCTCCTCAAATAAATAAAATCTTAAAAAAAAAAAAAAA